TCACCTTTCTGCAAACAAAGGATTGGAGCTTGTCGATTTTTTGATTTCTCTAGAGGGTTATGGTTTTGCCTGTTTTAGCATGTTATACATTTTATAATTTATCAGTCATATTAATCATTAGTTCCATTGAAGTTACACTCATCTTTTTGACTTTTCTTTTAAAAATAATTATGTTCAATCTTTTGATTTCTGTACTCTTTCTTATGGATTAATTCATTGAACAAGTTCCATATTCAGTGTATTTCTCTCCCCGCCCCTGACCTTCCTGTTTCCTGTCTCCCTCTCCCTGTCTCCTCCTCCTTCCTCTCTCTTCCTCTGTCCTTCCCTCCCTTCATTTCTTTTTTCTCTGTCTTTCCTTGGCTAATGAGCTTGTATTTAAATTTGGTAATACAGTCATAAAGTCATAAAGATGGGAGCAGGTGCTCAAACTGGGAGTTTATGTTTTCATCGTATGAAGAACCAGTTTCCCTTCTGAGCCGGTTTAATAACATGTGCATGGCTGCTTTCTCTAAGCACAACAGATTCCACATTAGTCTATTTTATGCCAGCACTGGATATAAACTGGCATGCATTGTTACAAATATAACTTTCAGAGAGTGTAAGCTTCGGCAGCACATATATTAAATTTGGAATGATAACTTTTGGAGAGATGTGTCTTGTCCTCAGTTTAAACTTAATTGATCCCATTCTTTGTGCAAAATAAGAATAATAAGAAAAAAAATCCTGTGTAGGTTTACATTCTTCATATGTTCTTTGAGGTAGTGATGATTCTGGAAGTTGGGAAGAGAGAGAACATAAAAAACAACTTTTTAAGATTTTTAACAAGGGTGATTAAATGCTATTTCATGTAGTTTCTAATGCTTTCCCCAGTGTTGTGTGTTATGTGAGACATCTCCCAGAAGTGTATCCTGCAATAATATAAAATATACTTAAAAATCATGTTGAGGTGTATTGATAAGCATGAACTCACTGACACAGGAAGAAAGGTTGATTTTGTGTAACTGGAGGCTTAAGTTAGGACAGTTTCCTAAATCGTTCCTGCTGTAGAAATTATTACCCAGTATAAGCTTTCTTGCTTGCTTTCTTTCTTTCTTTCTTTCTTTCTTTCTCCCTTTCTTTCTCCCTTTCTTTCTTTCTTTCTTTCTTTCTTTCTTTCTTTCTTTCTTTCTTTCTTTCTTTCTTTCTCTCTTTCTTTCTTTCTTTCTTTCTCTTCTTTCTTTCTTTCTTTCTTTCTTTCTTTCTTTCTTTCTTTCTTTCTCTTTCTTTCTTTCTTTCTTTCTTTCTTTCTTTCTTTCTTTCTTTCTTTCTTCCTTTCCTTTCCTTTCCTTTCCTTTCCTTTCCTTTCCTTTCCTTTCCTTTCCTTTCCTTTCCTTTCCTTTCCTTTCCTTTCCTTTCCTTTCCTTTCCTTTCCTTTCCTTTCCTTTCCTTTCTTTCTTTCTTTCTTTCTTTCTTTTCTTTTCTTTTCTTTTCTTTTCTTTTCTTTTCTTTTCTTTTCTTTTCTTTCCATTATAAGGTTTCTTAGTACAACATTTCCAGTTTGAATCTCATTTTTAAAATGATACCTCTAAGAATTCAGCAACTCTTTATTTTGAACATCTAAGTAATGTCTCTGTACAGGAATTATTCCGGATCATCTCTCAATTAGAGAAGTCCAATTCTCTCAAATGTAGATAGTGTCTCATCAGCGATCCTGAGAAGCTTTGTTCCTGAGATCACATTTAAGCTGATGAGAAAAGTCACTTCTCCTACCCCGCAGTTGATGTTCAGTTCACCTCTGCTAATGACCACGTGGCTGTGGGGTTCCCACATGTTGCCCTTCAAATGTGAGCATGCTTACTGTTACACATCGGAGAAAATAAGCAAGTCCCTGATAATGCTCACTCTTAATTTCATTCTCTGTTGCTTCTGTTCACTTTAGACCACATCTGTAATTATAAAATGAGGTTTAATTTTAAACAAGATTCTCTAAGACTTCATGAGGTGAAGGCATCATGACATGGGAAGGAAAGTGACCAATGTTAAGTTTCTGACTTACTTCCAGAATCAAATGTTTTCCATGACTAGGTATTTCTTTTACACTAAGATGTTTTTAGAGGATGTATGGTTGCTGGAATTAAGAACAGTTAGCAATATTCTCTGTGAAGCACTTTAGAGTCAGGGCTGTATAATATTGATTCTAGTGACCTGTACCATGTGCTGACACATCAAAAGAGACTAATAACATTTTCTTAAGTGCACCTAGATTCACATTCTACCTGTGACACAGACACTGGGTAGCCATTTCAGTTCCCTGAAGTGCATTTTTTTCCATCTGTAAAAGGAATATGTTGAAAACTTCTATTGCTTCAGTTTGAAGAAAAGAACAGGCTAGAGTCGATTATTGTTTATGCATTCTAAAAGTATTTATAGCTGACCAAATGATGTAACATTGAGGTTATGAGTAAGGCTAAAAGACGTTGTTGGATTTGAGTAGTGACAAAGAAACATCAGTGATATTTCTGTTCTATTAAATTTTCTTTTCTACAGAAATCACAGTGTGTCTGTTTTAAAATATTTTCTCACCAGTTAATAACAATAAACTTGCCTGCTTTCTTCCTAGCTGAATCCTAGACAGTTAAAATACTGCCTGACACCGAGCAAACATTCAACTATTATTGAAATAATTCAGTATCAGCTCGTTGCTCAGGGCCAGTCACTGCAGCATCCCCATTTGCTGACCTTTATGGCTAGTCGGTAATTTTTTAAACTTCCTTTAGAGTAGAGAAGAGAAATGATAATAAACTCACAGTTTTATATTCCATACATAGATATAGCAACAATAGTTTAAAATCACAGTATGTATATCTCACTATTGAACATTGTGAGATTATACAGTAAGATAAATTATAAAGTTATAATTCTATGGTAGGAAATATGTTTTACTTTACACCATTATGAAGTTTAATTTTTGTGTGAGTGAAGACACACAAGATAGATTTCAGTGTTTATGTTTTAAAAATTTATTGACTGTTCTACTAATACAAAATATTTTAATGGAATTATAATGTTTTGCAATTTTGTTTTTATGGGCATATACAATTTTTTTGTGTGTTTAAACATGCGCTAAGGAGGTTGGCATGTTGTTGGCAATCTTGGTCAGAATGCTTCCTTCTTTCAAGAAATGTTTGGACTATGTGACAGCTTTCATGTACATTTTCCTACGCATGAAGTTTAAAACATGTTGTTTCCTATAATTGTTACTTTGAAAGTTTAAAACTTTATGGAAATGTTACCAAAGACATATATAACTGAAATGAAATGTTCCTGAAAGCATCATCCTAAGTTCTTCAGTAGAATTTCATTCATACTTTCTCTGGTGAAGATAATTTAAATTTCATTGAATATTAAGCATTTTTGCTGTCTGGATTGCTGTCGTTTTTAAGGCTGTCTCATTTCTCAGAGTGAATCATTATACTTTTTAAAAATCTATTATCTAATATGAATGCTATTTTAGTATTTTAAATTCTAGATATGAAAGTTGTTTAACAATTGGACCCCCCCACAGTTCTTAAAACTATTCCTTGGAATTTAATTTGCTTGTTTTGATTTTATCACAATGCCTTAAAAATTAGCAATTTGTTTTCATTTGATGTTCATTGAGTTTAAAGGCATTCAACTTTTTAACCTTCAGAAAAAAAACATTTTTTTTGTCATAGTAATCTTTCTTTTCCTAATATTGTGATAGTACAATATTAGTACAATAGCTCAAAATTACATTCTAAATCTTTATGTTAAATTTGGGGAAAATAAGATGTACTTATTTTAAGAGAAACTAATTCAGTATATCCTGTTACATTCCATATTTCAGTTGATAGAGACTATTGCAGAATTATTTTATGTCATTGCATTAATAAAAACACTGTGCATTGCAAAAATAGACACAAACAAGTAGATTTAGGGATGAGCATGGAATTTAATTGTAGTTAATGAATTATTCAATAACACTGAATGGAGACAGGGCAGCCATTTCCACTGAGCTCAAAATAAAAAAAAGTCATTAGGATTCCTATAGTAAAATTCATTCCTTGCAGCATGCATTTCTGTTCACAAACTGATCTGATTTCTATTCCTGTATATTTACTTTTCTAGAAGGTCACATATGTGGAATCAGGTATTACATAGACCTTTTTTGAATTTTGTTGCTTTCACTGAAAAAATGTAAGGTTCATTTATGCTGCTGTACTTTAGTGAAGTGAGAAGAAAAGTAGAACTTCGAAGTTCTATACTACCATTTTTTCATCTCGCCTTTTGCTAAGGGATATTTGAAATATTTCTATTTTATGAGGAGAAATTATGAATAAAAGGCATTTAACTGAATATGAATGAAAAGTATAAACAAGGTTTTCTTACCCACCCCCCCCAAAAAAACAACTCCTAGCGATAATCTTCCCTTTTCTGTTTTACTTTAAACACCTGCCTCAACTTTTTTTTTTAATGTGTTTATTTACTTGTTTAAGAGGGAGAGAGAAAGTAGGAGAGAGATCACTCACACTGTCTGCCAGAGCTGGGCTGGGCCAGGCAGCAGCCAGTACTGGGGACCTCAGTCCCTTGTCCTCCTAGCGTCTGCAAAAGCTAGAAACCAAAATCAGGAGTGGAACTGGGCTTTGGAAACCTAACCTCTAAATGTGATGTGGCAATCCCACCAGGTGGCTTGATCCCCTGGGTCACAGCACCTGCCTACCATGTGGGCTTGTTCACAAGCATTTGAACTGTTCATGCAAAAGCCTGCCCCAATACACTCTTGGTCTCCTTGTGGACTGGCTTCTGCTTTTCTGTGCCCATGATAGAAAATGGTTACTTACAGAGACCAGGATTCTGTTAGCATTGATCAGTCGTCCTTAATTGGCTGTTTCTGACCTTCCACTAGAAGTTTTTGATGAAAAAGTTTCTCCATTGATTTGCCTAAGACACTGCAGAGTATGAGTCACCAAATATTGCTGTTTTTCTTTCTATCCTATAAGCCTATGATATCTTCTCATCATTGAGGTGTCAGTGGAAGTGTCACGTGAGATTTGAGTGTCCGTGAAAAGCCTCCGGACTGTGCTTCCCTCCGTTCCAGCAACATGGCAGTTCAAGACTGAACAAAAGTGAGGGAAAGTAAGGATCTCATCTCCCCGGTCAGTGGAGTAAGAAATAATTGTGCATTGTTTTACATCGTGGGGATCTGGGGCTTGCTTGTTTCCTCAGTGCAGCCATACATGTTTATAATTAACATACACATTCATAGTGCTGAATTTATTTATAATATTTTCATTTGAGCTTGATATATTATTTAAAACCCCTCCAGGGCCATTGAGTTGCTCCTCTGTTGTCCCTGTGGTCACATTATTTTCCTCCCTCTGTGTTACTACCCGTTTTCTTACATCATGCTGTGTTGCAGTTGTAAAGATACTGAGAGAACAAAGTCAAGAATGCTACATCACACTGTAATCAACATGGATTTAGCAGTTAGAAGACACACATTCCTTCATTTATTTGTCATCCATGTGATCTTGTGGCATTTTCTAACTGTGAAATGTAGTTTCGTCTTAAAATGAATTATTTCTAATCTATGTATCTATCTATCACCATGTTTAATGCTTAGATAAGTTTCCCAAAAAAATACGTGGGCATAATTTTACTTGCTCATTTGGTCAATGGCTATGAAAGCATAAATTATGGCAGTGATATAATACATGGCAATTGATGGTTATCACTTTTAAATCTAATAACTGCTTCTGAACTTATTCCCTTACCATTTCTTAAATTATGCTAGAATATAGCTATGAACCCAAATGATCATTTCAGTCCCACACTTCAAAGCAATGTATATGATTTCTAGGTGGTGTTTTAATGGTCATGCTTATTGGGTGTCAGTGCATAGCAACAAGTTCACAGTCCAGCATCTGTGTTTCTGCTATCAACTGTGATTTGTCAAAAACCTATATAAATTTGGGACACAGGAGCAATTTTTGTGTTCTCTTTACTGTTACTTTTTGAGAAAAAAAAAGCCTTGGAGTTGAGAGGGCCAGTGTTACTTAGGCTCCATTCGCCAGTGTTTGGTGTTGGGAGACACTTCTGTGGAGATACCAACTGGGGCTTAATGCCAGCATCCTGACATGCGTGGGATTCAGTGGGGGGCCACAGTGGTAACTCCTTAGAAGAGAGCTCTCTTCTATTCTTCATTTTTGGATGCCCTGCTCAGAGGTTGCTATTACAACTTTCTCAGCAATACTGTAAGTCCCCAATCGATGTTACATCAGTATTTACATACAATAGCTGTGATGACCATAGTTCTTAATCTTTGGCATACTTCAAAATGAGCAGATCGACTTCTGGAAGCACAGATACTCTGGTGTTGCTCACAGAGGCAAGTTCTTACCAGGCTTTCCATTCTTTACCAGAGAGCACACATGGAGAAATTCAATGGGGTTTTCAATTCAGAATGTATATGTAATAGATCCTGTGCTCAAATGAATTATATGGTCGGTGCTAGTCACAATGATTTCTAAGAAGTTAGAATATTGCTTGAATTTACAGCCAAATTACTACTAAGGTTTTTATGTAGATTTAATCATCGATAGGGGCTGATTTTGTAGAATAATGGTTAAGCCTCTGGCTGCAATGCCAGCATCCTGTAAGGGCAATAGTTCAAGACCTCTTTGTTCCATTTCTGATCCATATTCCTGCCAATGTGCTTGGGAAAGCAGCAGAGAATGGCCTAAGCTCTTAGTCCCTGCCTCCCGCCCCATGGGATATCTGAATGAAGCTCCTGTCTAATGGTTTTAGCTTGAACCAATCCACTGTGGCCCTTTGTGGAGTGAACTAGCAGATGGAAGAGCTTTCTCTCTCACACTCTCTGTAACTCTGCATTTCAAAGAAACAAAATGTATTTAAAGATAACAATAATTAATAGCATGCTAGAATGAGTTATGCCATATGGAATATATGAGGATACTTTAAGAATTAGGGGGGAATGAAATTAAAAGACAAGTTTATATTTGAGCCAAAAATGTTTAAATCCACGAATACATTTTGTTTCATAGTAAACATTTTCCATAAAGTTTTTGACCATGACTTGTGTATTTTCAGTCTTTATTTTGGAGTAGAACTTATTTTGCTGATATTATATATCAACTCTATTATATAGTGACATGATTTTTGCCCATGTATGATTTCACTATCTGAATATCAGTTCAGGAAGATAATGTTTCTGAAACCAGGAACCTGCAGCTGCGTGCAGGTCACCAAAATGGGCTTCAGGGGCTCAAGCAATTGAACCATCGTTTGCTGTTTAGCAGCATGCATTAAGAGGAAGTGCAATCTGAAGCAGAGATACCTGGACTCCAGGAACTCTATAACATACAACACGGGTGTCTTAAACCACAGGTTTACCTGCTGCTGTAAGACAATGTCCACCCCTCTTAGTTTAGATTTTAATTCACTTGTCGTATTTAGCAAAGTATAGCCAGATACTTTAAAAAAAGAGACATTTAATTTTTGTTGGAAAGGCAGATCAAGTCTACAGAGAAAAGGAGAAATAGAAAAATCTTCCATCCACTGATTTACTCCCTAAATGACCCCAAGACCAGAGCTGAGCTAATCCCAAACCAGGGGCCTCTTCTAGGTAATCCTAATGGGTACAGGGTACAGAGACTTTGGGCTCTTCTCTACTGCTTACCCAGGCCATAAGTGGAAAGCTGGATGGTAAGTGGTGAATAGGTTAGAATCAATGAACCTACAATGAGACATCATTGTTATCCAAAGTTCATCGTTTACACTGTTATTGCTGTTGTAGAGTCCATGGGTTTGAACCAAGCTATTACATGTGCCTGCCACTGTAGTATCATGTTTCACTTCCCTGAAATACTCTGTACTGCTATTAATTTCCCTTTCCCTTACAAATGACTAATATTTTAATGTGTCAGTAATTTTTCTCTTTTCAGAATGTCATATATTTGGAACCATAGGATAGGCTCCTCTTAGTATTGCATTTTATTAAGAATAATAGATGGTATGAACGAACTGTAGCATCATTTAGTTGAGCCCAGCACTTGTTTCCTTTGAGAGTGAGGTTAGCAGGTGGCTAAGAATGCGGGGAGGAGCCTGGATTAGAACCTAGGCATTTGCAGGTATCCCAGGGAAAATTTGAGTGCTAAGGCAAACCGCTGCTCCAGGGTTTCCACTTTTTAAGTTGTTATTTTAACGCCATTGAAAATGTTTTTATGCTATCGGGAGTTATAGTTAATTCTTACAATAAGTAATATATTTTTGAAATCATCCAATATCTCACTAGGAGTTAAACACCCTCACTTATATAATCATGTTATTTAATCAAAAAATAATTTTCTGCCAGAGTGGCTTATTAAAGATTTGCTAATTTTGACTTTCTTTTCTGAAACTTAATTGAACACAGCGGTCAATAGCTTCTCTCCCCAGGTGTCACATAACAGAAAGCATCAGTTTCTTCTTTAATGTTTTTTCCAGATTTCTCATTCTTAAATTATATTATTTGTCTTTAAACATTCTTTTTCATTTTTTGGCAATGATTAAAGCAATTGAAAAGGATAAACAACTCATTGTTAATTGGTTATTCTTAAGTTTTGCTATTTTAAAATGAACATGAGATGTTTTTTCCTTTTCTTCTAATAAGTCTTCCTGTGCCATTAAAATGTATAATGAACTTATTCAACAATCCAGTATTTTGGATTTGCAACAAAGTTTGTTCACTCTCACCATTGTTAGCTATAATCCATATCCTTCTAGGAGGGTGTAGACTTTAGTGAAATTCTACCTTGAAGTCTGAAAACTTTAGATGTAGGATGTGAGTTAAAGATCTAAGCTTATACTTCAATAAAGTGTGAAGGGATGGAACACATTTTAGCAAAAGGAATTTCTGATTTAGTATTGGTTGGGAAGTTGAAGGTGGATGATGGGTAATGTGAACTAAATTTATCAATTGTTATATTTCTATGTGATTGACATATTCTGAAATAAAACCATTAGAACAGATTTACATTTACTTGAAAATCAGAGTTACTGAGAGGTAGGGAAAACAGAGATCTCCCATTCATTGGTTTACTCTCCAAATGCCTACTATGGTCAAAGCTTGGCTAGCCGAAAGTGGAAATTAGGAACTTCTTCTAAGTCTCCTATGAGGTGCAGGGACCCAAGGACTTGGGCTGTCCTCCTTTTCTTTTCCAGGCCACCCTGAGGGAGCTGGATCATAAGTGGAGCAGCTAGTACTAAAACTAGTGTCCATAAGGGATGCTAGCACTATAGATAGAGGTTAGCCTGCATTACCACCATGCCAGTCCTCAAAATCAAAACTTTTAAAATGTCAATGACAATTAGAATGATTAAAAAGTAAGGAGCAGGCCTGGTACAGTAGTCTAGCAGCTAAAGTCCTCGCCTTGCACACACCTGGATCGCATATGGGCCCTGCTTCCCATCTAGCTCCCTGCTTGTGGGCTGGAAAAGCAGTTGAAGATGACCCAAAGCCTTGGATCTCAGAACCCATGTGGGAAACCTGGAAGAGTCTCCTGGCTCCTGACTTCGGATCAGCTGAGCTCCTGTTGTTGCGACCACTTTGGGAATGAGTCGTTGGACAGAAGATCTTTCTCTCTGTCTCTCCTCTCTTTGTATATCTGACTTTGCAATAAAAATATATAAATCTTTAAAATAGTAGAATGGTACATATGGAGATATTTAGAAAACAAGTTTAAAAAGTATGGCTCTTCTATGAATGAAATCTAGGAGGAAACAGGTTAATAAAAGAAGTTGAGGCTGGCGCCATGGCATAGTTGGCTAAGGTTCTGCCTGCAGTGCTGACATCCCATATGGGCAAAGGTTCAAGTCCTGGATGCTTCAATTCTGATTCCGCTCCCTGAGCATTGTGGCCTGAGAAAGCAGTAGAGAGCGGCTCATGTCATTGGAGCCCTGGACCCATAAGGAAGCTCTAGAAGAAGCTCTCACTACTGACTTCAGATTGGCCAAGCTCCAGCTGTTGTGGTCATCTAGGAAGTTAACTAGTGGATGGAAGATTTCTGTCCTTCTCTCTATAACTTTGCCTTGCAAATAAAAATAAAATAAATAATAAGAGAAGTTGATACTCTTTATTTCTTGGCATTGTTTTTATACTATCACATGAAACACA